TCTCCTGGTTGAAAACTAGCAACGAATAGCCACCAAATTCCAATCCTGCTGGTTTTCTGTGAGGATAATTAATAAATGCAGGGCTCTCTGCTCCTTGCCTCCTAAGGAGGAGTAAGGGCTAGAGCTCAACACCATGTGCAGAAGTTAGCAGAAGTGCAGCAGTTGTCACCCATATATGTGACTGCCTGTGTCCCAGTTCCAGATGTCTTCTTTGCCACCAGTTAAATTGCTGTGATGCCTGGCTGGGCCTCCTGCATCCCTTCCCTCTCCCCATGCCCATGGCATTGGCTGGGAAGGTGCTCTGTCCACAGGGATGTCCAGGAAGGTGGACAGAGGGACAGCTGCTCTGGCCCCTGGTGACCAGCTGGTTTATCCTTTCATTAAGGTGACAGCACCTCCTGTGKTTTTGCTGTTTGATTTCTCTTCTTTTCATGCTGCCTTGCTGCTCTTTCCAGAGCTGTGCCCAGATGGTCCTGTCGTTCCTACAGCCACGACTGCAGGTTCTGTACTTGCACAGCCATGCAGCAAGGCAGCTGACAGCCTYTCTGGTGTTGCTTTTCCTTCTGGGCTTATGGGCATGCTGGGGTTGTGGGCTGTGAATCCATCCCCTCCAGGCACATTTTGAAAGTGTGCTTTGGAAAGTGCTGGCTGGCATTGTCTGCAGYGTTCTGGGTTTCCCAGCTTGGCCTGATAGAGGTGCACCCCACTCCTGTGCCACAGTGCCTGGTTTATCCTGCCATTAATTTGCAGCCTCTGAGGCTGTTGGATCATACCAGGTAGGGTCACTAATGTGTCCAAGAGCAGCCCAGCTAGTGCAGGCTCCCAGAGGGGAGAAGGGTGGCAGAAGGCAGAGTCTTGGTGCTGGATACTCCCAGATGTGAGTGTGCCTTGGACCTCCATTCCTTCTTCTCCAGCCAGGGGAGATTTCTGGCCATTTGTAAATGGCCAGAAAACCTCTGGTCTCAATGGCCTCAAAATCTCTGGTTTTGAGATTAATACTCCMGTCCCTCCCCAATGCAACTTTTTGCAGACTGTGATTCTTTCTCAGATTACTTTAAAACCCCTTTCTTTAAAAAGGAATATGAGCATGTTGGCAATTCCCAACTCATGGACTAGGTATTTTACAGTCTGCTCATAGGGAGCAAGGTTGTTCATAGAGCTGGGGTGAAATGGGCTGACTGCTTCCATGTGGGGCCAAAGAAACCCCGAACATCTGCGAGGATGAGAAGGAAGATACAGAACAAAYAATAGTTTTGAAATGAGATTTAGAACAAATCAGAGCCTAGCAGTTTTGCATCCAAGAAAATGATGCTTTGGCTGTTTCTTTTCCCCATTTTTCTCTGAAGATGCTACCCTGACTGTTGCCATTCTGAGAGGGCATGGCGAGTCCTCAGCTCCTGGGTGGGCTGGCTGCTGCCGGGGTGACACAGTGCTGTGGTTTGACCCCAGATGGCAGCTCAGCACCATCATCACTCTCTCCCCTCTGATGGGATCGGAGAGAGAATCGGAAGGATAAAAGTGACAAAAGGGGCTGAGATAAAGACAGTTTAATAGGGAAAAAACCATGAGCACCAGCAAAGCAAGGAACCTGTTCCCCACCTGTTCAGCTACYCTCAGGACAGCAGAGCTGTATGGTCTGGGATATCCCTTGGGTCACTGGGGGTCAGCTGTCCTGGCTGTGTCCCCTCCCAGCTCCTCGTGCACCCCCAAGGTGCTYGTTGGTGGGGTGATACGARAAGCAGAAGAGGCCTTGGCTCTGTGCAATCKCTGYTCRGCARTAACAAAAACATCTCTATGTTATCACCCATGTTTTCACCACAAATCCAAAGCACAGCCCCACAGCAGCTGCTGGGAARAAAATTAACTCTTCCCCAGCCATAAGTAGCACACAGGGTCCTGGCTCCCCATTGTCTGTGGGGTTTGGTTTACATRGCCCTGAAAGGAAAGCTCTCCCAAAACTCACCCAACAAAGAGCAAAGTCCAGCCTTGCAGGTAGAGCTGAGCTCAGCTCCACTGCTGGACTGCAAGTAGCTGATGATCCTGTGGTGGAACCTCTTGCTACATCCAGATTATGGTCCCCCTCTGCCCCACCCACCTAGTGATGTTACTAGCCCTGCTTTTGAATCCTTTTTCCCTGTGGTGGTAAACTGCAGCCACGAGGCTAATGGGTGTCTTCAAGCCTTATTCTAGCACTGTAAACTCATTGCAGAAGCTCAGAACCTGCGTTTGGGGTCCTGGGGGCATCTGTGTGAGTGAATGCAGCCCTGCAGGCACAGCTGAYGTCTAAAGCAGTGATTCAAAGGATGCTGTATAAACCCAGGAATGGAGTAATACCTACCTGGAGGAGACCAGAGGCACTGGGGTTTAATTTAAACTCCTCCAACTCCTCTCCTTCCCAATTCTAAGATAAATGGACAAAAACATGCCCTGGAAGCTCTTGTGGAGCCCAGCCAGAGATGAGCAGGAAGGAGCCCAAGGCATTTCCACAGCTTGTCTTGCTGTGCAGGAGGCTTGGAGAGGTGTTTATTATAAACACCTTTTCTGCTCACAGTGCTCTTGGCCCCTCTCTGGCTCATGTCCAGCCATGGCCCTGGTCCAAGCTTGTTTAGAAGTGTTTTATCCCCCGTGCTTTGCCAGAGCTGCCTTGGTGCTGAGGCTGAGCGGGGATTTGCCCTGGGAGCAGRTCCCTGTCCCCAGGGAGGATGGGCGATCTCAGGGGCAGGAACTGCTCCCTTCAGAGCTGCTCCTGGAGGTTAGTCRTTGTTCTTCCAGGGACAGGTGTCTGCTCCCACCAAGACATCAGTTGTGAGTTTTCACTGCCATTGAGGGCACAGGGAAAGAGCTTTTCAAGGCGGGGTTGTGTGTTCAGGATGGCCAGGATGAGTGGCAGCTCATGCAACCCTGGTGCTGTCCCTGCCTCTCGTGTCCTTTCCTCTGCCCTTTGGTAAGGCTCTGCATGCCTTGGAGGGAAGGCAAAGGACACGTGAGGGCTATGGGGAGCCTTCTGCCTGCCTCAGGTCCCACTCCAAGGTGAAAGTCAAGTAATTTTCCCAGGGACAGGTGAGCTGCTGAAGGGGCAGGGCTGCCTGAGCAGCAAGGCAAAGGTGATAGAGCAGTAGTTTATYTTCCCAGAGCTGCAGGGACAGTGGCTGCAGGCACCTGGCCATTTGGTGTGGCAATTTGGGCACTGACAGAGGGGAGCTGGGGGACTGTGTGGTGGCTCTGGCTGGAGGAGCACAGCCAGGGGTGGCTGCTGGGTGCCTTTGGCAAGAGCAGAGCTGGGGAGCTGGGTGCAGAGGGCAGCTGAGGAGCTGGGAGAGGGTGCTGGCAGGAGGGAGCCCATCTCCCTTGCCTTGGGCAGTAGCATTCCCTCCTGCCCCCCAGGCTTGTTGCCTCAGCACCAGGAGGAATGGCCATCTCTTGTTTTCCTGGAGAGGAGAGTGAGAGGCAGAGGCAGACAGTCCTAGTCTGGGGTGGGGACTGGTCTCTGGGCCCCAACAGTCCAACAGTGTTGTTTCTCGCCCCAACAGTGCCCTGCCTTGCCAGATTTGGTGTCTCTTTGCCTCCTCAGGTTACACTGGCCCATGCATGGTGCCCTGTGGCCAGGCTGTTCCCCAAGGCTGAGGCAAGCCTGGGGGTGCCTGGCCTGAAGGAAGGGGCCCATTTCTGCCCCCAGAGCAATGCCAGGCTGGTGTCATGGGCTGCAGATCCTTCTGAATCGTGACAGCAGCAGAAAAAGAGAAGAAATCACTGGGCAAGATGCGAAGCAGTCGGGTATTTCTGTMATCTCTCAGCCCTGGGGCCCTGTGGTTTCTGCGTTTCCTGTGTGAAGCTGCCTTCCAAAAAGGCTTGAGCAGCTCCTGGAGCTGGGTCTGAGATTTCACACCAGTCTTGCTCAGTCTGAGAGAGGTGATGTGTCCCATGAGCTTGATCTTTCTCCAGCAGTTTGGAACCTCAAGAGGGACACAGACCCCACGGCTCTGTGGGATGAGATCCCAGCAGGGCACCCACAGCTCTGTGGGATGAGATCCAAGAAGGGCACCCACAGCTCTGTGGGATGAGATCCAAGAAGGGCACCCACAGCTCTGTGGGATGAGATCCAAGCAGGGCACCCACAGTTCTGTGGGATGAGATCCAAGCAGGGCACCCACGGCTCTGCCCGGTGCTTATGGAGCTGGTGCTGATGCTGCTTGGCATCCACATCATCAGGACAGGAATTTGGTTGGATCCCTGAGATGAAAACACTTGGTTGACTGTAAACAAACCTATTTACACAGATCCTTCTCAGTCTGGCTTGGAGAATGTGGGAGCTTTGGTCCAGAAGAATTTATAGCTTGTAACTTCTAAACTCCTCATTATGCAAACATGAGAACAACCAGAGCATCTCATTAGGGGCTGTTCACAGCGACCGGCTGTGGTGGCAAACAAAGCCYGTTTAGAGGAGACACAAGATGATCTCTGGGTATGATTTGGTGGCGTGAGGGATAACAGGATGAGTGTTTGAAGCCATTCTTCAGGTACKGCAGCACTGCCTGTTGCTCTGTCCTTTTGTGGCCCAGCCAGTGTCCTGCCCCACACCTCAGAGGAGGCATCCACTGCGCCCCAGTTCCCATCTTTTCCAGGGGGATAAAGCTGTTCTTTAAACCATGCTCCAGTGTCTTCCCTGGCAGGAAGGTCTCAGCTGTTAAAGGAAAAGGAAGGTCTCAGCTGTGCTGATACACGGAGCTCTGGGCAGCTCTGCAATCCTCCTGTCAGCAGTGATGGGGGCTGCCACTCACAGGAGATAGGTGTGATCCCTCCCTGTAAAGGTCCATCGGGTTCTGGACCTCGAAGAAGAGCAAAGCCAACTTGGCTTCTCATTTGAAGCTTTACCAAGAAGAAAAGGATTGTGATGAGTGGGCTGTCCAAGGCAGCAGATTCACTCATCAYTCACAAGGTGATGGGGCCGATTCCTGCCAGCCCCGAGGTGATGAGAAGCCCAGCTCACATCTGCAGAGCCCAACATGGGTGCTGTGACAAGGAAAAGTCWGGTTTAAAGTCCCTATTCCTTTCCAGTGAGTGACTTCCCATGGGCAGCATTAAGAAATGTTATAATGTAGCAGGGAAATGTGTCCAAGTGTCAAAGTTTATTTAGTAATCATTTAATATTTGCCTACWTTTCAAAGCTGCTCTGGGGGTATTTCTGGAACATCATCGAGGCCCTGGGTGGGATTCTTTTCTGCCCTGTTGAAACCTGTCTGGGATTTGAGAACCTGGGATTCCTGTTCTCTGTGGCTTATCTGGAGACCACCAGCTCAAAAAGATTGCCCCACAGCTCATCTCAGTGTTTTGGCTTTAGCTGAAAGAGTTTTTAATTGAAAACCTCTTAGGCCATAAGCCAGACTCTTACCATGGGGACAATAACTTTTTACTCTTCCCTGAAAGATGCCAYGAGAAAAATGACAAAGGTAATGAATTCTTCCACACTTTGATTACTCACAGAGCAAAATAGTCTGCAGAGTCCACTCTGAGTTGGTGTCAGCAAGGAAACAGCTTTGCTTTTATGAGGTAATTCCTTGGAGGARGACAGAGTAGGATAGGGGGGCATTTGCTGGGCTCTTGGTGTTAGAGAAGAGGACACTTTTGTGGCCCAGACTTGGAGGGGTGATGGCAGCTCCTGCACCTGGGTGGGTTTGGATCAGCTGWGGGCTTCCAGGCTGTCTGCTGATTGTTGGCTTTTAGACCCACGAGTCCTAGCTGGGGCCATGCAACAGCCCTGCAGGAGATGGGACAAGGAGCACAGCCTGAATCACACCAGGAGGAAGAGAAAACCACGGCTCCCCTAAATCCTGCTGCTGTGGAGAGCAGGAATGGTGCCAATACCGAACATACCAGCACAGCAAGGAGCCCTTCTCCCTCCCCAGGGGCTATTAGGGTGGTTTCAGCCTCTCACAGTGTCTAGAGAGAGGAGCTGGTTTGAGGATATTGCTTACAGGAATATTTTGGGAACTCATTAAAAAGAGAATTATAAACCAGCCCTGGTGCGACTGAGATAAYGTGGTGTGTAAGTGTGCAGGAAACACGAACATCCTCTCAATTAAATTCAATTAATTGTTTTACAGCTGCTCAGCAAATACCATGAGGTTCAGGTGGGGAGATGCAGTGCAGGGATTCCACCAGGTCTGGATGGAGCAGGTAAGAGGCTGTGGTGTGTGGAGCACCTGTTTGTGTTAGAGAGGGAAACTGTTTACAAAATAGAAGCATTAGCAAACTGGAGAGAGCTGTGGGACAGTCTGCAGCCAGCACAGCAGCCACAGACCCTTTTCTGGGGAAAGCAGGAAAGGGGCTCTGGCACCTGTGAAGGAGTCCTTATTCCACACTGGGGGCTGAGGTGGGAGAGGGGGTCAGTTCTGTGTCTCAGTAGGAAAGGCCTGACAGCAAATGGCATAACAAAACAGCTGCTGTGATAGGACAGAATTAAAAGAAAGATATATAATAGTTTGAGGAACCAAAAAGGAAGAATTTCTCTCCAGGGAAGGGATATGTGCAGCACTGGGGAAAATCCATCCTGGGTCCTTCAAATGCTGCACGAATGCAGGGTGCTGTGCATCTGCCCTTGATATTCCTCTTTTTACTCTGCCTTGTTAAAACAGCYGTTTTATCAAACCTTTTGCCATTGGCCATTTCTCACTGAGGCTGGAGAGACCCTCACCCCACCTCCTCCCCACCCAGCCCAGGGATTGTCGCCATGGAAGGGGGTGTGCAAGGGGCTTGAGAGGGGATAAGGGACAGAGCCAAGGCTCCTGCTGGCTCCCTGGCCAYCCCCAGCCTGGAGAAGCAGGAGGGTTTTGCCAGACCCCTGCTCTGAAGGGTCCCCATTGCTTCCCTGCATGAACAAGTGGTGACTCCTGGAAGGGGAGCAGACAGTTCTGTGTGCTTTGTCATGGGCAGCCAGCATTTCCCCACTAGCTGGAGGCTCCGAAAGATCCCTCCAAAACTGGTTAGAGCTCATGTATGCCAGAGTTTCAGGGTGCTAGAAGGGGCAGTGGGATGGGAGCCCTGGGATGCTCCTGGCCAGTGCCTGCTTGCACCATGACTGTGGTCAGCACTAGGTGAGGGTGACCACGGTGTCACTGGGCCAACAGTGAGGGACCCCTGTGCCATGCTCTGTGCTCTCCTAGGGATACACCCCGTCCTGGAAAGGGAGACCACCTGGATATCCATCCTCAGCAGGCCCTTTGTGACATACCCCGCTGAGGACCGTTTGGCTCTGTTGCCTTTGAACCTGCCCTCCAGGTAGGTTTTGGCCATTAACTCAGCCCTAAACTTCCTTTCAGACTAAATGAGACCACCCCATCATGTCTCCTTTTAGTCCCTGTKTCCTGACCCAATGACACAGGGTCAGGTAAGTGTGATCCAGCCTTCAGGAGAGAAGAGAGACGCAGGAGCAGTGTCCCCTGAGTGCCCCTGGGGCAGGTAAATGTTGGTGATGTCTGTGCCCCATCCCTCCTGCAGCAAGCAGACACTCCCTCTGAAGCCTCTGCCCTGGCAGAGCTGGCCTGGCACCTTCCCAGGCGATGAATTTTGGAKGGGGAAATACGAATTGCTGTGCCTGGCTCGGCAGGGTTAATGTCAGTGCAGATGCACGTGGTGCTGCCTGTGTCCTCAKCTGCAGCAGGACATGCACAGCAAAGGGCTGAGGAGGGAGCTGCAGACCGGGAAAGCTGCGTGGCCTTGGATGAGCTGGGAGAGTCTGGAGGTGCCCGTGGAGGGAGGATCCGGCACACGCACGTGCGTGCCCACGGATCACACGAGTGAGAGGCAGCAGATGAGCTGCCTTGCTCTATTTGTAACCTCCCACTGCTGCTGCACAGGCTTTGCAAGGAGGAGAAGGAGCTGAAAATGGAGCTGAAAATTGAAACTTGAGGCTCAGATGCTTGGAGAAGCTCAGGAGCCCGATTCAACTCRTCCCTCTTGGGCAAGCAGGAGCTTCTGTGCTTCCTGGACCCTGTGTCTCRCTCTCAAGTTCAGCACAGAGTGAGGCATTCATGCTCCACCTTAGAGTAAAAATACTTTTCATTAACTCRTTGGGGAAAGGAGACATAAAGACACAATTCAATTGCAAACCACAARATTACAGTGTGAGATGAAGAGAGGACAGAATGAGGAAGGAAATRGAAAAACAGCTTGGCCTTATTTTTTAATTTGCATCCCTTCAGCTKGCTGAAGGAGAGCTGGGTGAGGACAGGGCAGTGCCACGGGTGGGATCCACCCTCCCTGCCTGGGCATCACAGCTGGGATGTKGCATTCAGGATCTTGCCACTGCAAGCTGGTTTGGACAGTCCCAGTGGCTCCAGCCTGGCCTCTGGCAGGTGCAGGATGAGAGGCTGCTGTGCAGGGAACCACGGGCACCTGTCCTGTGCCCAGGCTGTGATTCTCCTGCCTGCATTCAGCATTTGCTGCCCTGGGTGGTGCCTTTGGGGAGTGCAGGATGTTCTTGGGAAAGTGCATGGTGATGGGACAGCACAAGGAGAACAAACAGGGCTCCTCTGCAGCAGCCTGGGACAGCCCACCCCTCCCCTGATCCCAGCTCTCCTTGCAAAGGGCAAGATGGAAAGGGAGGGATGAGGCTCCAGAACCCCTCCAATCCTCCTGGCTTCTTGCTGAAACTGCTAATTAAAGATTCCATTTCATCAAGCGATTTTTTTCTGATGTGAAAACTTTTCCATAAGGAACTGGTCCCGAATCCACCAACTCATTTCACATTTATTTTAAATCTATGCTTTATATTGTGTAGTTTCCTCCAGGGCTTGATTATCTTCTCAGTAAAAGCTCTGTTGTTCTGGTTTGTGAGACCTATATTTAGCCTTGCCGTAAGGTCTGTGCACCTCTCAGTGCAGGGCTCAGGCTGCCACCTGAGCTCCTGGGCTTTCCTATTTATTTGGATCTATTAAACAAGTTACCACCTCTGTAATATCAAGGGCATTTTCCAGCCACGGGCTGCCTACAAGCAGTAACTTGGTGCTGCAGAAATGGTCTCCTGGATCTCAGAAGTCATTTGGAGAGGGTCCCTCGTCTAACAATGGCAAATTATATTTAAAGAGGGAATCAAGGGCAAAGCCAGACAAAGAGCCTTGTCCCTCTCTRTTATTGTGGTGGTACCTCAAGTCCTCATTCCCTGTGTTTCCTACACATGTAATAAAGCATACTCCAACGCAGCATATTTTTACATAAAACTATACAAAATAGGCAAAAGTGGGAGGGGTCTTTACCTATGAAGGGAATTCAGAGGTGCACGGATGTACCTGATCCCCTGGTATGACTGCAGTTGTTATTTAATACACAGGGGGGTGTAAGGAGATTGTGTGGAGAGAAGGGTGAGAGAGAGAGAGAGAGAGAAAGAGAAACATCAAGTGACTGGCAGAGAAAATGAGCCCAGGGAGAACCTCTGGGATGGAGGGTTCTCTCATGGTGGGCTGGAGACTGGGATCCACCATCCTGTGGGGAGCATTGCCCCCACTGGTGCCCTTTTGCAGCCACAGGTCCTCTTTCTGGTGCCACACCTCAGTGCCTGGCACCACTGTCCTTCTGGGGGGACAAGAAATGCTGCCTTGCTGACCGTCARCCCCCTGCCAATGTCCACCACAGGAATCTATGGCTCTGGGCAGCAGTGCCCTGCAGAGACTCCCTGCCTCTCCTCCACCCTGAGCAGTGAGGAGCCCTCCCAGAGCTGGAGCTGCTGACAAATGTGTTGGATGCAGCTGTCTGTATCCARGGAACGGAGCGTGTGAGCGGCACAGCGAGCCAAGGCACGCGATCGGAATGATCAACGGGCAAAATCTGGGTGCTAAGGCATGGGCTGGAACATCTGATTGGAAGGCTGGGAGGAAAAAAAGGAAGGCTGAGTTGTTTATGGTTTGTTTTTCATTCATCATTCCTGCTTGTGTGGGTGGACAAGGAGTGAATGAGTTTCTCAGGGAGGGCAGCAAATAAAAGAGGCACACATTTCCTTGAAGGATGAGTAGCTTTTTTTCCTTCCTGGTGCCTAGGTGAATATGTCACAAAGGGGATGGAAAGATCCCTAAGAGCTTCTCTCCCAGGTGAATGAAACCACTTGCTCTTGATTTTTTTTTCCCTGATCACCATGTGTCAAGAGATAAAATATTTTTTTTGTGGTGGGTTTCATTATAATAAAGGACTGCTTTTTCTCCCTGCAGAGAATGTTCTCAGCTTTTGTTTGGACTGTTGAGTGTTTCATGCAATGACAGTGGGTCGATGCTCTCCCAGCTCAGGGAGGGATGGGTAGGTAGCTGGATCAGGCCTCYCAGCCAGGATGGTCCTTTTCTAGGAGAGGCAGCACTGGTGCCTGTGGTACATCCCTCAGTTGTGCCTTCCCCTGGTCTGGGAGGTGACACTGACAGGCAGGAGATTTGGGAACCCAGTGGGGCAGGGGAGAGCCAACAGACCACTGGGCCCATGGCAGCATTGCTGGTGGAGGGCTWCTGAGATGGGTCTTTGTTTCCTTTGCTGCAGCCATGCTGCTCGCTGGGCGTGGGGCAGGCAAGTGGAATAGGAGATTTTGGAGGTCACTATTTTGATTCTTTTCTACCTGGAGCAAAGGACAGATATGGCTTATGGACCATGGTCCTCTGAGCACCCTGCTGTAGTGGGAGGTGTCCCTGCCTATGACAGGGGTGTAGAATTAGATGATCCAGCTGTTCTGGGATTCTGTGGTTGGTCCATGTCCAGGCTGGAGTCTCAGAGTGCTGGGCTTTGCCTTTTCCATGTAATTCCTCTGTTCATTTATCATCTGATTTTCTCATTTCACSTAAGGCTGTGAGGGTGTCCTCCTGGTGCCAGGAGTCTGTGTGTCCTGGGGAAGGGCTGCCTCCTGCCCCACATGGCAGGCACTGATACTCTCCATGGGCTATGTACCCACTATTACTGGACATCCCCGAACTGATGCATCTGCAAGCTAAATCCTTGCAGAGAAAACCTGGAGGTGGAAAAAAAAATGGCTGCAGTGGCTTTGTTGGCATTTTGGGGCTTTTGTAAACCACCTGATTGTTGCAGGGAAGAAATGCCCCATAGGGAGGGAAAGCAAAGTTCTCTTGGCTGGCATTGGGGATGATGTGTCCTGTATCTGATATCTTCACACCCATAGGGCTTCAGGTCCCTGCAGAGAGCTGAGATAGAGCTGGGAAGAGCTGTGTGAGGTGGAGAGCCACCCTTGCAATGCACACATGGTTCTTGGGCTTGCCTGAAATGGGGAAGAGCTTAGCACAGCCCCRTGCTGGATAACACCAGGGAACGTCWGGACCTGTGTTATGCTGGATATCAGGGAAAGGTTCTTCTCCCACAGAGTGGTCAGGCACTGCCCAGGCTCCCCAGGGAATGGGCACAGCCCCAAGGCTGCCAGAGCTCCAGGAGYRTTTGGACAGTGCTCCCAGGGATGCACAGGGTGGGATTGTTGGGGTGTCTGTKCAGGGACAGGAGTTGGGCTCAGTGATCATTGTGAGTCCCTTCCAACCCAGCRTGTTCTGTRACTCTGCAGTGTTCCTCCTTATACCAAAAGCCCCACGTTGGATTTGTGGGAGCACATCTTCAACTGACATGGACAGGGGYGAGCATCTGCAGCCTGTGGWRGWTGCTGAAGGACAGTCTGCCTGCCTRTGCTRTTGGAGATCAACATCTGTCCTTGCAGAAGAGCTGCAGGGTTCCCTGAAGTAGGGAGGGACACTGGGACACTGCCCTGTGTGGCATCTGCACYAAGCAGGGCTCGGTGCCAGGAGCTCCCTTGGCAGAGGCAAAGAGAGACCTGAGAGGTGCTTTGTTTTCAGGCATCTCTGGGAAATTGCAGGAACAAAATTAAAGGAGGCAAAAGAAAACTCAGCAACCACATTTGCCTGAGGAATGAAAACCTCTGATGGTGCTGCTGAACTCTGGGGTCCTCCAGAAAGAGTGGAATCCAGGCTGAGCTCAGATTCTCCCTCTCTCTGACAGGATGGCAAATAGGATGGGTGTTCAGAGCAGGGAGTTAGGGGAGAGATGGGCTTTGGATAAATTAAAGCAGACCACAGACCTCCTGGGGTGCCTGCCAACAGTTACCCTCAGTTGAAGGAAAAATTCTTAAAATATGTTATTTAGGTTTCATTYTCTCGAAGCCAATGTTCAAGTTGGTCTGGTAACTGCACCAAGCCTTATTCATTTCATGTGTCAAGATGCCCAAGTACCTACAGAAAAYAATGATTTTCCATTTATATGGCAAAAATAGCATAGAAGGGGGATAGGGATTTAGTCCTAAACCATTTCTGAAACGGTAAGAGAAAAGCAAGTGTCTCAGGTGATGAAAAYCAGTTGACTTCACAAGAGTTAGGATGAACAGCAGGAAAAATACCGCTAAAAGGAGATGTGACCAGTGCCCTTTTTGGAGGCTAAGCGATCTGGATTCCAAAATGCTTCASAGACAAAGAAAACACTCACTTTTCAAAATTGCCCCAGAGGCCTCACAGGTATCTTGCACTGAATTTCTCAGTGATTGAACCGCTGTGGTCCCACTGGGATTTCAGCCTGCAAAAACAGAAAAGGATTACCAACTCAGCTGCCTGGGCATGAAACTGCCCTTTCTGGTGAGGGGCAGGGTAGAGSAGGTGAGCTCCAGATCAAGTTATGCTATCAGGTATCTCCTTCCTCCTCAGGCAGAACCTTAGTTGCTGTCTGAAGAAAATGATAGGGAAAGGGGAAATTCCACAGAGATTTATGCCAAAAGAAGAGAGAAGTCAGGTCGTTTCTCTGCTCTTCCGAGCAGTTTCCTGAATCTAAAATACTGTTCTTCCTTCTGCCATGGGAAACACTTCTGGTCCCTTCTACCTCCACCTGCATTCCCCTGCAGTTCTGCATGGTCACCAACCAGGGGAAAAGAGAAAGCCTTCAGAAACATCTGAGAACACAAAGCTGCGCAAAATCACGCTTAGCRAGAGGAAATGTGCACAAGAAGTAAACGGTCCCTGAGCCCTGCTGTGTGCACACACTGCGGGGCTCCCGGTGCACCGCGGCCCTGCAATGGCAACGCTGCTCAGAGAGCTGYCAGCATTCCCGGAGAGGGAACGAGCGGTGGTCCTGGCGGGCAGCACGGAGCCACGGCCGCCCGTGGCTGCAGAGCCCTGGCTGCGTGTGCYGGGGCTGTGCTCTCGTGTGCCAGCGGTGGGACAGCGCTGTCTCCCGCCCCGAGCAGGGAAACACGAGAGGCGACGCCCCGTGCCTGTGCCGGGCTGGGCGCAGCGGCTCTGCTCCCTTCCCGTTTTTCCTGACGGTTCTGGCTGTGCGGTGTTAAATGGAAAGCGAATCCCGATCCTGCCATTTGTGCTCCTTTGCTCTCACTGATGGGCTCAAAGACAACACAGCTACGGTCATCTCCTGAGGTTTGCTRAGGGCTTTCCCTGGGGCTCTAAAGGCTCTGGGGCCGTTGCAGTCTGTGCCCGGAGCCATCCCCTGYGAGCAGGCTGAGCCCAGCCCTCCTGCCTCCAGGTCACCTCCGTGGSATGGGACTATGGCCGCTCCCCTTCAATGCAGAATCTAGTGCAACAACAACCACAAAATCCTCYGCCGCTGCTAATTGAGCACCTCAGATCCCTTCCGCCCTGTCTGGGCAGCGAGGCTTTGGGAGTGCAGATGCTTCAGGATCGGCTTTGAAAATAAACCCAAACGAGCACCTTTTGGAGCTTAAAGCGACTCCYCCTGGAAGCCACTGCAGGGAAAAACATTTGTTTATTAACGAGAGGCAGCAGGAACAGGGCATGAAAGGCGGCTTTGTCTCCCCTGCCAGTGCGTGCTCCGTTTGTCTCTATGTTAATGCCTTTCCTTCAGGTGTGCAGGGAATCTCGGGCACAAATCTCCCAGCTCCATAAAACCATCGGGCAAAGAGGAATCCCCGGCTCSCGGGCCCTGCGCATCGCGGAACCCCCGTGTCACCTGCAGCCGCCCCCAAATGAGCGCATCTTTGGTCGCCTCTGCGGGGAAAAGGGGGATTCTGCGAGCGCCCGGGGGCCTGCCGAGGGGCTGGCTCCATGGCCGGATGGAAGCAACGCGGTCTGSCTCCATCCCGCGGACCCCCAGGGACGCGGGGATCCCCGCCGCAGCGGGCATCCCCGGTGGGGGGGAGTTCCCGGGCAGGGAATCACCTTTCCGGGGGGGTGCGGGGGTCAGCATCCCGGGGGCAGGGGCAGCTGAGGGAGCATCCCGCTCCTCCCCGCGCCGCGCCGCGCCAGTGCCTGTGCCGCTGCCGTGCCGCGCCGCGCCAGGCCGTGCCGGTGGCGTGCCCTG